CCCAATTGAAACGTGCGGCGAGATCGATCGATCGTTACAACTCTCTGCGCGCCTAGTAACGATCGATCGATCTCGCCGCACGTTTCAATTGGGCAGTGGGCCGGCCTAAGACAGCGATGTTTAATAATTAATAACTCGCTGACTTTTGCGAAAATTGCAAAATGGTAGAGGACTTTTCGACTTAGTCTAGTCCACTCTATCCCACAATAAGCGTTGATGCGGGTATTATATAACACCCTGTATAACAAGTACACGGAGAGAGTGTTATCTTAATATTTGTCTTGAAAATTATGCAATCGTGGAACAACGTGGCATTTCGAAGAATTTTGTGAATTTTAGAAATTTTACCACACATTTTATTAGTAAAATATGTGGTATTGTTCATTTATAATTAATCTAGAGAAATATGAAAAAATAACAAATAATCCTCTGATTATTATTAAGAATATTATGATAGAGTACATGTACTTATTTCGGGACAACACAATTTCAAAAGGCTGTCATAAAGTTTTTCAAAATGACATGTTGTCCCACAATTCCATGATTTTCAGGGTGAATTTTGAGAGAGAATTCTCTCCGCACATACTTTTCAGCTGATAAAACTTAACAATCTGAAAATCTTTGCGCGAGAAATACGACTTTTCAGAGAAAAAGGCACAACGTTTGATTTGACTATACATATATGATCATTCATTATTAGTATCGCAGTCTCCTACGGATTTCTTACGATTCTCTCGCCATGCTCGTGCCTGAAAACTGCAGGCAAATAAAAGTATTCGCTTTGTTGGAACAGAAATGCGTACACTTCATTGAAAGCTCAACGAGTCTCTGTAGTAGTCCTCGGGAATATTAAAGCAGACTGCGAGCTTCGACGAGAGAGCGTACAGAAGTGCCTTTTCTTACGGTTTAACTTTTAAGTGACCGAACTTTCTTCACGAATAAAATTTAATTTCTCGTCCCCATTCACTTATCATCGCGATGTATTCCATGAAAGGCTAGGTGATGTGATTAAGCCGGTTTCCTTTTCACTGTTTCTCTTATTTAAAATGAGGATTATAAGACGGACAGATGGTGGAACAATTTTCATGCAATTAACAATTCGGCAACCTAACGGGATTAATCCAATAAATTATGTAAGAGTTAAACTTTTAACTTGTACAAATCGATCCTCAGTGCATGCATTATTCCGTAATTTCATGTAATGAAATGCGGGATTAATTCAATCGAAAGATTATAACGTCGCACGCAATGACTCGTTAATCCTCTTTAATCCACTCTTCAAGATAAGAAAGTCAAGTCGTGCGAGAAAAAATACGGAGGGCTGAAATGGCGGAGTGGAGCCCCTAAGATAATATTATTTCTGAAGAATTCTGAGAGAGTTTCGAATGTAAGAAGATGCCTGGATCGCTCCGCGTTCCGCGGAATCCTTTTATTTTCCCGTTCGACGTTTTCCCCGGAAAATCGCCGAGGAGTCTCGAAGTCTCACACTCCGACACCAGGCACCGCGTGAACACGCGCGTGGGAATCTGCTTTGCGTGCGCCGTCAACGAGGAGAGGCGCCCGAAACTTTTCTGTATTCCCCCGCAACTTTTCTTACGTTTCGACACGGGTCGGTGGCTTTCGCCGTTTCGCGGCTACGAAAAATAGACGGATCCTCTCGTTCGGTCCTACCGTCCCGGGATCGCAGTAAACTTGGACAGACGCACTGTTGCGAGACGCTTCACGATGCAAAAACTCCGACACGGATGGTTATCAGAGTTATCGGAATGAGCTTCCATTCCGATGAGCTTAGTTTCCCAAAAAGTAACGAATTTCGAGATGATAAAATTTGCGAGCCGCGAAAGTGAAATCTCCTTTGTATACGATCTCACCTGTTTGTTAGATAAATGACAATATAAAGCTGCAAAGAATGATTGTTTCGTCATACACTTTATAACATGAAAATTTGTACTCTTTGAGAGTCGCACAGTGTTTAGAGATAGAGGCCATAGTATGTACAACTAAAAATAGAATAATATTACTGTAAAGTATAGAAATAGAGAATGTAAAATCAAACTTTTTACAGGAAGTCTTTAATTCTCAAAACAATTACAAAAGTTAAAAATTAATCATCTCTCTCCAGACTCTTAATATTCGTCTTTAAATTCCCTCCAAACTTCTGCTGTGCATCATAGATTATTAAATGCAAGTTGAAAAAATATTTTCTACTTAAAAGAAGGTAATAGAAATATCCCAGAGAACATGCATGTCTAAAAGACATCTTTAAGACATGCATGTTTCCTGGGATGTATGTTATATTACGTTAAGTATGAGGCACGCGATCATTCAATTATCTAAATGAAATGTAATGCAGTCGATAAGGGACAGCTTAGACGCACGAGTCATATTAATTATTGGTTTGTCATTTATCATCGTTTATTCCTAACTTTGTTTGCGAAGGTGTCCTGGGTCAGGCACAGAGACATCCACATCCTGACTGCGGGAGCGTACACGTACACGAGTGACCAGCGATTTCAAGCACTGCACAGACAAAACACGGGCCACAGCAACGAATGGTCCGAGTGGACCCTCTGCATAAAGTGGGCGCAGGAGCGAGACCAGGGAATCTACGAATGTCAGATTTCCACCATACCTGTCAGGTCGCATCAGTTTCGCTTAAACGTCGTCGGTAAGTCTCGTGTGTTTCGTTCAATCTAATCTCGCTCGTCGTTGCCCGCGTTCTACAGAGTGGCGCACGTAAAACCGTCCCCAAACAGTTTGCTTTTCTTTTTTCGTAACTGCATCCTGCGTTTGGGTCCGGTTTTATCTGCGTCACTCTATAGCAGTCGATAAAATTTCCAAAACGCTCTGGTGCGCGTTTCAGCTTCAATTCACGGAATATCGGTCCGGAAGAGTGGCCCGTTCTCCTCCGGCTTTTAAAAAAAATCCACTTGTGTGTTCACAGCGATTGTATCGCAGAGAATAAATTATTAAAAGCACGATTAATGAAGAACGGAGGAAAAGAACAAATTCACGGAATAAAAGTGGAAAGTTAAAATATTCTTCGTCCGGGCCGATACACCGGGATGTGTAGAGAAAATATAATAGTCCCAACGCAGCTTCCGTTTGTGCGCTAAAATATTCCGAGATCATGAATCAAGCGGTAAATTTAACGAAGAGAGATACGCTTGACGATTAAAGCGCAATTTAACGATGATCCTAACGGGGAGCTGAAGTCCAACGCCAGAAGGGGCAACGTCGACGGCGTCAACCTCATTATTTCAATTACCCTGACTTACCTGCGTTTGTTAAGAAGCTTTCACCTCTCACGGATCACGGGGCGGCTTTAAAAGATTTCTCGTTCCCCTCGTTCGCCAAGTACCATTCCCAAAAGGCTTTCATACGCGGAGAGCCTTGACGACGCGCGGATCTTTGGACTTATCCGAGCCGGGACGAATGACCGGGAGGGAGCGGGATCGCGGCAGCGGGGGGGGGGGGGGGGAGGAGGTGACAAGAACGAGGGGAACGAAGGAAAGAGGAGACAGAAAGCGAGAGAAAATTCTTCTTTATCGCAGTACCTACGGCGACGATACTGGGCGGCCCCGAGTTGTACGTCGGTGCTGGCAGCACGATAAACCTGACGTGTGCCATACGCTTCAGTTCGGAGCCACCAGCCTACATCTTCTGGTACTACAATGAGAACGTTCTGAGCTACGACAGTCCCAGGGGTGGCGTCTCAGTGATAACCGAGAAGGGTGGCGACGTTACCACCTCCTGGCTTCTCATTCAGACGGCGCAGCCCTCGGACTCCGGGGAGTACAGCTGCAAGCCCAGCAACGCCAATACGGCGTCCATCAGGGTTCATGTCCTAAATGGTGAGTCTTTGCTCCTGCGAGTGCGCCCCAGCTCCGTTCTCTCGTCGGCGCGTTTTACGAGCGACGCGAGACAACGGCCGCCGAGATGTCGTGTATTTTCCGCAGACTTACCCTCGCCCGTTTCTTCGTCGGCCGGAGTGGCTTAATTAAAAATTTTACGTCTCGCACATCTATTTGCCTCTCTCTACAGCGAAACGTTTTTGACATTTATTTCAACAACGAACCCACTGGCCACCGGCTGCACTTGCAATTAATTATTACGTATCGTACGTTAAATCTCCCGTTGATTCGCTAATAAACGCGAGTCTTTTAATTACATCACTGAAAAGCAGTTCGCAGCGGTGGACGGACTTGGTATTTCCGTGTCTTTTCATATCGGGCGGACAGATTGAAATTGGTACCAAAAGATTTCAAGGTAATTTCAATTACCGAGCGAAATAAAAATGCGCTCGCCAGACTAAATTCTCATTTGCCTACGATTCCGTGGAATTAATATAATTTCGTCGCGCGAACGATTAAGTATCGCGTCGCTTCGAGGCGCCAGAATTCCGAATCAACCTGGCCAATCCGCAAGTTGCAATTTCCGCCCCGGAATGAATTCCCAAAGCGTACCGGCTGTCGTCGGATCCTGCTTTATAGCGTGCAAAATTATTTTATTGGCCATCGCTGTTCGGGTCCCGCACAGAAGAGCCGTAGACGTTAACTATTCACATAGCCAGCTCGTAAACTCGAGCCGTTCCGCGTCCGTTGATCGTTAAAACTACTCAGGACGGGATAGTGGATAGGAAAAATTTCGCGGCAACGAAATGCGCGTGTAGATCGCTGTTCGGACCAGAAGTCGAATCGATAAGCGGATGATGACGAGGTGGAATACACGGCGAATCGCGCGCCTCCTCGGGTTCACAAGTCGATGATCGAATCGATATCGATCATCATTTTTCGGACCGTTTGATTCGATGACGACTTGATTCTTCATTGATTTCGTAACAAGATCCGCGTAATACTTTGTCGAGATCTTATCGACGTATAGTCGACATCTATTGATGTAGAGAAAAGCCCCCTATTATGAGATAGGCTTCGAACACGAGATAGCGGAGTTTCTGCTAAATTGATAGGCACCAGCTGCTGCGGTTCTACTATGAATTTATTGCTCTTGGAGTGAAATCTGTTTAATAGAAAATTGATTGTTAGATCGTGTAATCGTTGCGAAAACAGATTTGTGATTGAATTTGGACGTTGAAAACCTACTATCTCGTATTAGAATTCGATCTCATAACAGAAGACTTTCCTCTATACATATCAATTTGACATATAGTATCACGTCAGTGTCGACCAATTATGATAATTTAGTTGGTATCCAGTAGATATCATATTCGAGTCGAGCCGATAAATGGAGATGTTGCTTCGACTTCAATATGGTATCAATTGAAACTTGACTAGACCGTGGACAGCTGCAGAATATTTTCCAGATAGCGTGACGAAATCTTCTACATATCAACTTGATTATTGATTTGCACATGTTCTCAACTTGATTTCAATATCCAGACTTTTCATGGACTTGTGAACCCGGGTCGGCCCGCAAACCAGTCTGTTCTTTTACACTTTCTTATCACGCGCTCTTTCTTATCCCCCATTCTTATCGCGTTTAATGGCTCTTAATTCTTATCTTTCTAACGGGTTTCACGTATACCGGTCTCGTGTATTCTCGCTGGCTCGAAAATATCGGCCCGGTGTACGCTCGCAGCTGTCCCTTCCCAGCTTTCGGCCGCGCTCGAAATTCGCCGCTCTATCAAACTCTTGGCAATTATGCAGTCGCGAAGTTTGCGCGCGCGCGCGCGCGCGTACATATAAATATACATCTATATATGTATATACGCAAACGCTCGCGTGAACGGGAACGCGAGGCGCCGGTTTCGCATAATAAGGCCCTTCGTCATCCGCGACGAACGAAGGAGCCGGCGGAGTTGGCGGATGCTTCAATAACCCAGCTTGAATAATTTATTAATGAAGCGCATGCGGGAGACATTAAATTATGCTCGTTATCGCGGCTTGTTTTTCGCGACCCGACAACGCGCGAGTAGGGAACAGGTTTCGCTCGGTGATTCGCGAATATTCCTATGTCATTCGGCGAAACATGTGGATGGCGAAATGGTGCGCGAAAGTAATCCGGATGTGTATTCGTAATCATATATTGTTACGCGTAACAAACGTCCATTTGCAAAAGGTTATAAAAGGGTAATAACATCTCTGAATCGTACAATCTCAACATTTCAACATGAAAAGAAGCCATTAATCCGATGGGTTTTCACTAATGGAATTAAACAAAATCTCTTATTGAAAATTTATAAACTTCTGGTGACCTAAATTAAAAATATATTCTATTGCATAAACGACAAAAAGTATACTGTTCATGTTTAAAAATTATAACCGATAGCCAAATATGTAGATCATGTAGAGAATTTATATTGATAGTGATAGCAAAAACAGTTATTTATTTATTATTTTAAATAAACTTTTGATACTATTACTTCCGGGTTGGGGCACATTTTTGCGACATTACATTTGCCTTTATTTGTTTATTTGTTACGGTCAAAAAATTACCGTAACGAAAACTTAAAAATCAAGTAATAAAAAAGGGGGCTCAGAGTCTGAACAAGGTTATAGTGTCCAATAAAATAATTTTAATTATAAAGGCATATAAACGTTTCGGTCCTTATGTAATGCGGGATAAAAAACAATTGCCAGGGATGAGTTGGAAGGGAAGGGAAGGAACAAACGAGAAGGATTGTTGTAACGTCGTCCACACAGTACAACACTGTTCCAAGTAAGTACCTTCCCCTCTCTTCCTCCTAAAATTGGTACTAACCTATTAATTGACTTTTCATTGTTTTTTTATTGTTACCGCTCTTTCTTTTTAATCAACATTTTTTACTCTCTTGCTCCGTGTTTTATGTAATTACCAACTCATAACTGACTATAATTATTTTGTCCTTTACTTTAACACTAATAACTGCGTAATTCTCTGCTAATATTCTATTTGTAAATTCATCCATGCGTTAAAATTAATAATAATTTTCATATTTTTTAATTTTACACTAATCACTGCGTAATTCTATGTAGAGATATTTAACTTGCGAATCCATCCACGTACTAAATCGAACTTAACTTTTTTGTACTCAGGATGGACTCCAATTAAGACCGAAACGTTTGTATGCCGTTATAATTAAAATTATTTTGTTGGACACTATAACCTTGTTCAGACTCTGAGCCCCTTTTTTATTACATGATTTCATCATACGAGCCATTATTATTTAAATAATGAAAATATATAAATTAATAGTGCGTAATAATAAGGTATAACTTTTATCTTTTTACGACTCGGAGAATTTAATTTCATTTATCAATTATAATTTTTATATTTTTATAAAATTCTCATTAAAAGTAAAGATTTTTTAAATGTAAAATTACAACAAATATTTGTGTCAAACACCCGGGAATATTTTATATATGCTTAATTAAAACACGGAGAATTAATTAATTACATTAAACAGAATAACTCGGCGTTTAATTTCAGCGTCGTCCTCTTTTACCGTAATTCGGTTACTTTTTTTTCGAAACGTTAGCTCGGAATCAATTGCAGCGATATCGATTAATGTACCCGTTGCAAAAGAAAATACGAATCACGACGAGCAGAATAACACGCAAGTACGCGGCTCTTAAAATTTTACTCTCGAAATCCCGATTCATCCATAGAATACGACACCTTAAAAGCTCGCAGAAATTTACAGCTGCTCGCTTGATACCGCCGCCTGAGCGGGGCGGAAATTACTCTTCGATTCGCACACGCGTGGAGCAGGCGCGACCGATATTCCGCGTCGAAAGAAATATATAGGTCCCCGACTTGATGAAAACTTTGCCATTAGCCGCGTACCTCGGAATAATCCCGCGGAGCCCCAGTTACAATGCGTTAAAAACAATTTCGGGAAGTTCGCCTCGATATATTCGCGCCGTTCCGAGAGGGCCGACGAAAAATCCTCCCAAAATTCCCTGCGTCGCTATAAGAAACGCGGACATCGGGCAAACAACCGAACGAACGAATGTACGTATACGTATACGAAAGTTGCGCGGGGGCGCGAAACTTGGAAAATTTACGAGAGCCGAGTCGGAAAATTCCGCGGGCATTACGAACGGGGCCGTCGGGGGACGCGCGTCCGGAAATTGTACTTCGATTCGTTTTACGAAGTGACCGATATCCGATAGAATGTCGGATAGAGAGGACGCGCCTAATACGCCGCTTCAGCCCGCTCGAAACTTTTACAATGGCGAAATCGTCGCGATCAACATTCCCGAGCGTGGCCGATCGCACGGCCCGGCGGTCCGGCAAATTGCGCGCCAGAAAACAGGATCATTTATCCGAATGTATCGCTCGCAGTTGACATTCATTAAAAAGTTTTCACGACGCATTCCGCGACGCGGAACGAACGCGCGGGCGAGCGATTCAATTAATTTCAGCAGTCACACCAACGAGGAGAGAAACTTTCCTCGCGCGCGGTACACGTCACTAGTATTTCAATAACTTTCCATGCGAAAATATCCGCGGTGGCACCAGCACGCGCCGCACGGTAAGCTCTCATTATCCAGATCACGCCCGGGAACTCCGGACCGCTTCTCAACCCTTCTCCTCCCCCGCCGCCCCCGTTTTTGCCTTTCCGGCTCGCGTGAAGTAGATTATATTCGCTGAATGAGACTTGATAGATTGATGGATGGTTTATTTATTCCCGCGGCATAAATCCCGAAGAACCTTTCGTAATAATGGTTTTACCACGTAACAGAAGCGGGAGTGACGTAATAAAAATGTATAGCCGGTTAGCCGAGTTCCGCTCGGGAAGATAATGCAACACCCGTCACGACGAAAGACCTCGCGAGAGGAAAAAAAATATATATACAGAGTTCCCTCCACGATCTTTGCCCTTACTATCTTTAAAACAATCATAATTTTATTGCTCTCTAAGAGTCAATAGTGGATTATTATCATATCCATAGACATAGTAATTGCTAGACCGAGCATGAGACGCCAGACCTGAGGCTCAGGTAGAAAAGGATAGAAAGTAGGTGCCGTCCACCTTTATCTCTCTAACGAGAAGAATAAAAAGGGGAAGGTTGACGCGGCATCTACTTTCTATCCTTTTCTACCTAACCTTCGTTGCTTCAAAGAGAACAGGTCTGGTATTACTATGTCTATGATCATATCAATGGATTATCACTGGAAACAGTGAATAGTCGCTAATTTGTAGTCATAAGTATACCACTGAAAATCGAAATGGTACACTTGTTTTGTAACAGTCAATCAGTGACTATTCACTTTTAGAAAGTAATTAGTATGGGGGAACATAATTGAGTAAATTACGGCTGCTTTCCTTTTAGGAGACACAAATCGACACAAATTAAAGCCCGATCTACAATGTGTTCTTTGCGCCTCGAAACGTTTTAACTTATAGCCAATAAACACGTTTAAAAAATTTGTGCGTGTTGACAAACTATAAATATATTATACGTTGCACAATCGTGCATTGTCAGCAATTTTTTTAAGCACATTGACTTGCCTGTACAGAATGTTTCTTATTGCGAAAAACACAGAGATTAGACTTAACGCACTCGAGTACAGCTTGTCACTGTGAAATGGCAAAGATTTGAAGCACAAGATTTCAAGAAAAGGTTCTGTCGAAAAAAGACTCTATCGAAATACTCGGAGCGGATGCGTTCTTCGATCAAAAGCACACTCCGACTCTTCTCCCGAACAGAGTCGAAAAGTGTCGATTGAGTTTGAGTTAAATTCTAAATGGAAAGCGACGTGCGTCGATTTGTGTCAGAAATGTCGACTGTGTTCTCTGAAAGGCGAGCAGCCTACAAAAAGCACAAAATAGAGTTACGAAAGTAATATTACAACGTGATATACGTGGAGAGCATGCTACAAGCGCTGCAGTTTATGCCGTCCATAAGACAGAGGGCGCGCTATAATGTGCGTGCATTTATGCACGGAGTGATAGTGTACGCGTATTACCAGCTAAGATAAAGCAATGTGAGAGAGTTGAGCTGTTCAAACTAATGTTGAAAGAGTATATTTTAAATAATGTAACTTAATTTGTATTAGAGAAACTATCAATTTACCTGTCTGTCTTTCTTTCCTCGGCGGTTAAACGTAGAAATGTCGACATGAGATTTCATGTGGACAGAGACGGTCTTAACCAGGAAATCTTTGCATTACAGGCGAGCGACCGGAAGCGATGCAGACCGGGACCGCGGGGCCGATACTGTCCTCGAGTTGTCTATTGGTGTCCCTCATCATTTTGTACATATCCTCGGTGTAAACGAAAATGAAGACAGCGTCTGCAGCCGAAGATCACGGTACTCCGTCGCGGTACGTTCCTCTTACGTCTACGCGAGCGCGTTTCCACGTGCGTCCGCCCAGCAGACGTGATCGCGGGACGATTGTACGCAAGTTTATACGAAACATAAAGGGATTCCGCGAATGGACTGAGGTAAAGCGTGCTCAGTTGGTGCGTTACACGTAATTCACGATGCTTTTACGAGGGGAGCGAAAACTGCCAATCGAGGAAGAATAGCGATTCCTCTTGTAAGTAGCGGCTTACAGTTCATTCATTATTGCTCCTTATAAGAAGCATTGTGAATTATAGTCTATTAGCGACGCGCGCCAAATTACGTGGTTCATACTACAGGACAAAGTGCGAGGCACAAAACGTTCACGAATAAAAAAGCGGTTCCATGAGTCCGATCCTTCTCTTCTCCGACATTGGTCGGGACGACGGCACTGAGTTGTCGCTCATCGATCTTGTTAAAGAAAATGAAGAACACTTGGTGCGCCACCGATTATCAACCTCGTGCGTCGGAAATGAAGAACTCGATAGTGCGCGTGTTTTCGTCGCGCGCGTTTCAGCCGCGACGGAATCGTATTCCGGCACGAGCGCGACCGCGTTCGGAGAGGGAGTTGCATCCTTCGGTAAGAAAGGCACATTTAATTAAGCGAACGTCGATGCTAATGCCGGAAGCGCGGGTGCTTCGCGGTTGATCCGGTGCGCGAAATCCGCCCTCCTTCCCCGCAAACGGGACTGAGGGCCGCCGCCGACGGGGGTCGGGGGCCCCCGCGAGATAATCCAGGTAATCCGTATCGCGAGAAACCGATTTACGAGAAGCGTTAAAGCGAGGGGACGATTGCTTCACGGTTTACGGTTTACGAGCAGTCGAATCTTGGGAATGCAAGCTACGTGGATGGGATTCAATGGAAAATAAAACGTGACCGGAATGCTCGAGCCACCGGCAATTTTCCGTATTTCATAAAATTGCCGCGCGATAATCGGCCGCGCGTTCACATACTCCCCGATGCTATCTTCAGCCCTGGCGACATCTCCCGCGATAAATTTCATCAATTTGCCGACTTGGCACAACTCGGACATCGTTCTCTCCGATTAGTTTTACGTTGCGTTTGGAAATATCTCCAATTTTGACACCTCTCCAAACTCGTGCATTTCAGCGTTGTAAATTTTACAGCCACTATGCAGGATTTTGTATTAGTAGGTGATTTGAGAATCGATTGGTTTTATACATATATATGGTATATATGTCCATTTTCGTTACATCATTTGGACGCTTGTAAAAACTTTTTCATGCACACATATATTCTGACATTTAATTTCTGTTTTTTCAAAATATTTTTTTAATAGTACTTGCACATATTATATCGAACAGTAACTGAATACCTTTTTTGTGTGTTTTTATTTAAGAACGTGCATTAACATTTATTCCGAGAATAAAGGTACATGATTTTGATATTGTCGTCGCTAAAATAAATGATTTAAATTTCAAATTTAACTTTATTAATTATTTATTTTTTATAACGGAACATTGATGTTAACGAATCTATAAATTCTGACGCGTGCCACAAGCAGGACTAAAAGAAATATCGACTTTATTGTTCGTACCACAAATACGTTCTCAAATCAATTGTATCAATTGTAATTATCGATCGAGCACGCGTTATATATAACACTAAGCAATTAATTCGGACAATTAGACCCGTGGATATTATATTAAATGCATCACAGTGTTTAGAAATTTTGGAAAATATTCCATTGACGTAATTAAATAAAGCACATTTTAATATGTGTTTTCAGATAGAATGCACTCGTGCATTGTGAAAAACACACCCGAATTTATGCTTCAAATCCCTATTGGATTAACAGTACTGAAACTCAATAATTGAATGCAATCAGGATAATCTAAGCTTAAGTAGCCTATTGTTACGCACTTTGATTATGGCCTAATTTTCTATCGTCCTCAATTAGCCGTTGATTAACGCAGCGTTGAACAGAGATAACAGGAAAATGATAGACGTAAATTGTCGGAATACAATTTAATGTCGGAATTCCACGTTAAAATATAAGGTTAAAATATAAGGTTAACCATATATTAATAAAGCTTTAAATTTTAATTGAAATTTATAAGAACGCAACAATCAAAGTTAAAATATTGGGCAAGAAGGTCTATTGAGAAGATCGGTTGCCTCATTATTTCCATTACAATGTACTAAATTTTATTATTACTGAATATTTATAAGCATAGAAATTTTATGAACGAATAGAGGAGAAAACTTATTTGATATACAAATGTGCACGTATTATTGTGTGCGTGAAAAGAAACAAATCTTAAAGCACCTGCATTTATTTATGAGAACTAATGCGAGTTTAATTTTAATATACAGCCCAGTTGTCATAAAAATTGTATTCGTCCCATTACAACATGCTATCATACAAAAACAATTAGACGCGCTGATTGACGCAGCGCAAGACCGCACGTCAGCGAAGAGAATAATTACGAAAGGTAACTAATAACGTGACAGGCACGCGCGCAAAAGTTAATTTTACAATTGCAAATAAATGGGAATGAAACGGTTTAATAATCGAAACGGAGCTCACGGCAATTTAATACAATAATCGCCAGCGATTATTGCGGGCCACGCATAAATAATCACTCTGTCGATGGACGCGCTTTAAATTTTGACCATTGATTAGCCCAGTCGTGTACGCCACGCAACTGTATCTCTCGACATATTTTTATCCCCATTTTGCAATCAGTTCCGCCCATTTAGTTTTTATATTCAATAATTGCCACGTTATGTTTCATTGTACCTAAAAACAAAGCGATGTAGTGTACACAGACAGACATACACACGCACTGAAACAGCTTGTTAGAATAATACAATTCGACCGTAGCTGTTATTGTAACATTTTTTTTATATGCGCTGGATGCAATAATTAAATGCTGTTTGCATAATGGTATTTCATTATACGTCTTTATTTTTGAAATAAAAGTCTTACTGCAACGTTCCCTATGATTCCGAATTATCAGAGAGAAATGTAAAACGATATCTTTTTATATTCCATCTTTAATTACAAGCTTAAGTTACGCTGCGTAAATTGCTGCCCCAATTAAATTCACAGGGCGAGAATTGCGCGGAGATTCTGAGATGAGCGCTCGCGAGAACGGAGCAACGGTATTCGACGCGATAGTTTTCGCGTATTGTTTCGCAAGAGGGTGATTGATCAAACGTCGAGCACTCCCGTCATCGTTTGTCCTATCGTCAGTCTAACGATTGTATCGCTAGACGGGCCGAGATAGCGATACGGATAGACGGGCGTTAGTAGGCAGGTATAGGGACAGAAAGACGAGCGCACGGAGAGGTTTCGCCGAGCGCAAAACACACGTACACACGTACGCGTGTATGCAAATCAATGTGATGCCGCGCGCTACGCCGCTCGTCGGACACATGTTGAATTCACTGATCCGCGAGTACAAACGCACCAGCGCGGCGTCTCGGGCACACGCTTCCTATACGCAGCTACGTACGGATTATTCCTAATGCGGACCTCTAATCAGCGACGAACGCATCGGTTTCGCCGTTCAAGAGCGATCGCAATCGGCATTAGCATCGGCGCGTACCAACGCGAATTTGTACATAATGTCTATATTATAACTTGCGCGAAACATCGCACACTCACACGCCTTGCGCGCCTTTCCGCATGGAGGAACTTTGAGACGCGAGCCAATCTTTCCTCTCGGTCTTTTTGGATGCATCTGATTGTGAGACGAATGTAACGCGGGGAAATCAAAATCCAAGCTCGGCGAGAGAGAGAGAGAGAGAGAGAGAGAGAGAGAGAGAGAGAATTTCACTTTCTATTTGTGTGTGTTTCGATGTGACATCCTGGCGGATAGCACTGGCCAGCGACGATTGGCTTCCATTCCTGATCGGAAAAGCTCTACTTCCTGCGAAAAAAAAAAACGTTTTCCATCAATTTATTTTAAGTGCCTAGATTGTTTTTTGTTATAAAACGATTCCGTACAAACGCACCTATTTATTTAATATAATTGTTACATATGGCTTTTAGATAGAAATGTTTGCAAAAATGCGACCTGGCGTTGACGAGGACTGACATGTCACAGTTGTGAGAAACCAATTTGAGTTTCTTTAAAATATATTAAAATTTTAAATGACACGTGTTTCTTTACGTGTGCTCGAGACTGAAAACAAACTGTTGAAAAACATTATCGAGAAATTACAAAAATATTTGACATAATATTCTTTGTAGAACTTTTAATGCGCATTTACACGTATTCAGAGATTCTAATGATGTAATGTTCTTTCAAATGTGCTTCCAAGTTCATTGCCGTTTTTGTGAAGTTTAAAATTTTTGCTACACGTTTGGATCACGTGTTTCATTCGAATGTCCAAGTGCATTCACTCAATGTCCGGTTTACTCACGGCTATAGTGTCGAGCAATCACATATTGGAAAGGCACAGCACGAGCGATGGAGCACGTGGATAAAATATGTCGCTCATTTATTTGTCGATGGATTTAACTTTGCTAACATCGGCAGAAACGTCGAAGTCGCGAGGGCCGCTCGGAAAAGCCGATAAGAGAAATCGCCAGTCGCCCGGCCAGTGCGATCGGACAGTATCGAAAGTATCGCTCGGGCCATTCGCGCTCGACGAAACGAAGTCGCTTGCATCTTCGCGCTCCTACGCGACCCTGATACGTTGGCGAGGCGGATGACCCCGTCTGGCCCAATAAAACTTCCTGGGGCTACACGGATGGTCGCTCGTCAGAAGCGATTTAAGTAACGCGACGAGTCGAGAGAGAAGCGACGAAGAAAGGCAGAGACACGCATTGCCACGGCCGTCCAGAACAAGTAGGATCTTAAAAGACGCACGTGTACTCTCTTAGCCATTTGCTACAATCTTCTAACAAACAGATTTTCTTACAAAAAGTTTTTTAAATTTTATTGCAATTAAATCGCGACAAGTTTTCGAAAGATTTCACAGCGAGCGTTTTTGGAACGGCTGAACCGCGCGTATCGAGGTCTCAATTGTCTTTTCTTCGATATACACGTACAATTGTTTTTGCGTCACATTTGTTAATATCAGCTCAATCTTTTCTTCCATCCGTTCTATTCCCGTTGTCAAGATAGTCAGCTTACACAAATGTCTCAGTAGGAAGACTCGTCGCAAAGTCTCGATTTTCACAATGGATACGTTTTACCTACGACAATCGCGATTAATAGTGTTAATGTGATGTTACGATCGCAGGGGAATTTTGCAATTTATTCGTATACTTTCTTGACATTATTCCCCTTAAATACGTCGTGTTTCAGGAAAAGGAGGGTTAATGTAGAGAGGGAAGAGAGGGGGGCTCGTAAAGAAATCTCGTGCCACCCGTCGGCGCCTCGCCATGTTACTACAGAAGCACATAATTCCGAGAGAGGTGCGCGGGTGAGAAAGATAATATTTCGGAAGTTCTCTCGAGGGGCGAACTTGCTAGAGTCACGCTTACACATGTGGTTCGGCGGTGGAATATACGGCCCCCGAAGACAATGAGAAGTTGGGAGAAAAATAATTGCGCGAGCGGACGGGCGGGCGCGGGGCGCGTCGAGGCCGAAACAAAAGTTCGCAGGCATTTTTCTTTCTTTTCGGCGGAAACTGGGTGTAAGAGATAGGAAGCGCGCCGTTGAGTCGCGGAACCAAGTCCGCAATGCGTGCCGCATCGATTTTCCCGTTACCGGGCGGACGTTGGGAGGCATATCGATGACTCCGGCTGGTTCCGGTTAAACGCGAGACGCTCGCGAACGCGCATAACGCGCGGCGTCCCTCGGTCAATCTGCAATTTTTCGCTGAAAAATGCACGCGCGGCATGAAAAGAGCAACGAGATAGAAATGATATCTGGATTATAAGTGATTAACACGTGGCGGACTGTAAATAAATCATTTGATCTCGCGTTTTGCGATTTCACGGGTATTGGCATTTCCATTATTACCGAACCGATACACCGCGGGTGATATCCGAAAATAAAGTAAACTCATTACGCTCTTCTAATTTCGAATTGCACTTGGAAATAAATGCAGCCTCTAAAATTCAGTGTTACATTAAATGTTGATATCCTATTACAGCTCATTTCGTTTGATACTAATAGCGCTGTTTAAATCAGCCTCGTTTCGCTAATGGATATTTGTCTGAAATCGTATATCAGAAAACTTTTGACCTATCTAATCCTCATTAATTAGTGGGACAAGAATAGTTTGTATATACGGTTCTTCCTTCTTATTGTTCAATGTTTTATATACATATATATAATATATTTTTATAGATATATTTAGTTCTCATAAAATTATAAAATATACGAGTACGAATTGAAATTAAAGATACACACAATTTGGCTGTGATTAAGTAGCTCACAAATAACATTAATATTGAATCTATTTCCCTTACTACGATGTGTGCAATAAATGAAAAATTAGACAACGTTCCCCGAAGTATTTGCAATGTCTGAAACTGTCAATTCTGTTGTATAAAGAATCTTACTTAAATTTAGAATGAACGTTCAATTAATATTCTTCTCGACGGCTTCGATAATATTTCTTTACGTTGCAACTTCGACACCTTTACAGCAATGTCGGGCTAAAATTCGGAGCGGATCCAAAATCAACGCGATTTCACGCAAACCATTACGCGGTATTCATCATCGTCCAAATGCAACTCTAGTGCAATTATTGTCCGATTCGGGCGAAACCACTGGCAACTGTAATGGCGCCAGCTTCGGATCGCCTATGTTTCTCTCTCTCTCTCGCTCTCTCGCTCTTCCTTCCTAATGTTACTTCCTAATAATATGAATTATTGGATGAAACGCCCGCTTTATTACGCGGCGTGTATACACGCGAGCGAAATCACGTCGACCGCGACCGAGTGTCGTGATCGAATATCGTACCAGGCATCGCGTGGCCTCGCGCAAAAGTTGAGCCACAAATGAAAATGAAAGGAACTTAAGCTGAAGTCGTCCATTATCGAGCAGAACAGCAAAATAATTTTTAACAATAAATAAATTTTTTCTCTCAAGTTTTTCTACCTGTACAAGGTGCTTATTTATTATAGTTGTTATAATCGCGGTCTCCAGAAATCAATTTGAAGGTCATGTTTCCTTATCGAATACGTGGAAATGTTACTTCTTTTTAACTTTTTCCATACTTGATTTTCGATTAAATTAATAAAATTAAAAACTGATTATATTTAAGTGAAATTAAGCTGAGATTAAAGAATACAATTTCTTTACTGTTTCCATTCTTCTTCGAACTTTAGTTTGTCATTCTTTAAATTGCCAATTTCTTGAAATCTGCAGGTGCCCCGTGATTTCATTGACAAAAGATCGATGTCGGCCGAAGAATTTGTAGCGAACGGAGCATTCGGCGGGACACTTCCTGTAATGCGTAAAATAGAAGCGGACACGTACCGAATTCCCGACTCCGCGAAATGAGGTAAACGCGGCACGTTGCCCGCCCGAATTCGGAAAGATGAAACGAATTCGAATTTTGTTCATTCCACGTGGCCGGCCGAGTCGAGAATTGAATTCCAGGCGCGATCGGAATCCAATTCGAAGTCCGTGGTTGTCCGCGAATCCTCTCCCACATCCTCATCCTGATCTCCGAGCTCGGTGGGAAACTTCGCGCGTAGTCAATGCGATCGTTTCCTCTCCCGCGTCTTCACTTCCAGGCAATCCTTCTCTTGGCATTGATGGCTACAATCTTCATCTTTTTTTTTTTCAAGTACTGGAAACGCTCTCGTGATTTCTGGAGCTGTGGCACATCCGAACCCGCGGTTGCTCGCTTGTTTTCGTGTACGCCCTGTGTTGACCGAAGACGGCCAGAAGAGAGATTTGTCGCGCGGATCTGCAGAGTTTACGCAAAATGCGATTTTCACTTTTTATGAAAGAAAACTGAGAGTTTTACGGAGCGTTGCTCGCATCTCTCGACTCGTCCGCGTCGCGACGCTTACGCTCAATTTTGCGCGTCGCATATTTTACTGCGGACCCGTGAGCGCGCACTAGACTCCGCGATAACGACAGGTGATAGGCGCCGAGAGAAACTAATCATTAACTAGATCTGTGAATTAAATGTCGACGAGAATGCGCTCCGGCGATAGTGCGACGGACTGGAATTCGACGAGCCGTAGATCCTAATCGACGATTTTGCTAAGCGCAAGCGTAAGAGTTTAAGATGGGGAAAAAAAAAACGTGAACGCAGAAGAAGAAATCCGTAATCGCAGTGATATCGTTAGAATAGATAGGTATATTATTGTACATACTATGATATTACGATGTTTACTAAATAAAAATGTTGAAAGGAAGTGGAGTGGTGGCCTGCTCTTTTGGGCGGAGCTTGTAGAGCCGCATGTACATAACGTGTCCTAAAAAAATAAATGCTCCCTCTGATAAGTCTCCATCAATCTCTTCATTGACAAAACGATAGACGTTAATTCTGTTTTACGACAGACATGTAGACTTTTTCGCTTGTTTTTGTAATCTACAATGTTATAATTTGCAAGCTGCCTTATTAAAAATTTTGTGATAAGTCCTTTGCAGAAGACCAAGAAAACGAATACTTGGAGGATCTTTTAACAAAAGAAATTGGAAACTGTTTTCGTCAGATTTACTTTTATCACTTTCACATATATTTACGCATGATGATATTTAACATATTATTATTCTAAAGTGCAATGTACAATGTTCTCTTTCACTATTATAAATTGATAATTCGAGATTTATTCTATTTTTTTCCATGTAAATACCGCAACGAAGAAGCGGGAAAAGTTTGTTACAAAGGTGATGTCGTAACACCTTTAAAACGATCTGTTTGAGAGGTTTCCTTTGTTCCAATCTTCACCTTTGAGGACATCTTGACGCAGTCGTGGAAACGACCGGATTCTCCGAGAAATCCCTTTGCTTCTTCAGATCCGCGTCTTCTTTATCCCGACAGCTGGGAATCTTTTATCAAGAATGCTCCTTTTTCGCCAACGATAAGTAACTAAGGGGCTTGAAGGAACTCCGTCAAGCGGTTACCTCTGACACCATTTCGCCAGGCAACCGTATTCCAAAAACACAGGATAGCGAATTAAGGCCGGGGCAAGGTAAACGCGGACATCAAAATCCAGGTAAAGCTCCCACGCATTATTCACATGTTCGTTGGCGCCACAACGTTTTTTTTCCCCCCTTTAGCCCCTTTGCGCGCGTACGCTACGTAACAATCGAATGCGTGGAAAACCGGTTCTTTGTACAATTGGAAGCATTAACATCGTTCAGAATGCCCGCATTTACCAAAGGACTTCACAGCGTGCGATCCATCGATTCTCTTCGTTCTTCCGCGAGATAAAACAACCGTTTCACCATTAATTGAACGAGTGAGGGGACAAAAAAAGCAATAGAAGGTAAAAAGATCTCCTAAAAAAGGATCCTCTATAGAGAAATTTGACTGCTAAACGCGCACGCTTCAATATTTCGCAATAGACTCGTTGAACAGTTTGATTAAGCAAGAATATTGTTCTAGAGAAACGTGTGCCTCATAATAAATGCACAGAAAATTTAGCTTAATAATTTTTGAGACGTTAATTAATATCTATTATTAAAGACACTGAATACGGTATAATTACAAAGCTTTGTTTAAACAAGATTGATAATTCTTCGATATATTATTTCTCCGCTAATTTATTGGTATACAAAGGAGCAAACGGAGTAGCGAAGTATAAAGTTTCTCGGAAATATTGGTGTGCAATTAAATCGTAAAAATTCCCACGGTATTAAAAGGTACAAATGCATTTGTACCTTTCCACGATACCATGGTATCGTGGAAATGATATAATAAATCTTCGATTAAAATACATACATCCTCTTTTGACGCGAGAAGAACTGTAGATTTGATACGAAACACTCGTCAGCCGCTAATCGAGATCGTTTCGGGGGAAGTGTTCACAAACAGCATATTGAATGCGAAGTACGTTTCGCAATATAGTTAATTTTTGCCTTAAAAGGCAACTTATTACCTGCATTAAATTGACTTTTGTTCAAGAGGCTTGTCGTTAGTAATTTTTTCAAATAGCGGAATAAGTGGCAAAAATAAATTGACGTTCTCGATAAGAAGAAAAAACGCGGCATGAAGAACAAATAAATGTGCTGCAATCGAGCTTGCAATACTTTGCAGCAAAAAGTACACGTGAATTTTTCTCTTTTCAGCCCTTAGTGTTTGTCGGGAAATTTTACCCGACTAATTTAGTTTCTTCCTTCAAGTGATTACGTTACGGACAAAGCGCACTTTACGCACGACTGACACAATCGTTGCTATTTCCCAACCGTTTTCACCAGTGAGATCGGTATTGGACTGTAAGATTATGGAAATAGAATATTTAACTAGCACAGTCCGCCAACTTTTAATAACCGCGCACTGGCGTTGCTCCAAATTAAGGGTAACTGGCCACTGGTGACACATCTTCCTAAAAAGTTTCCGTCGCACTGAAAATTTCAGCGCTTGTTGCACTCCTCTTTGTCAAAAAAGAGAGAAAAGAATGCGAGCATCGAATACTGCAGCCGTATATTAAAATGTTATGGACACTGCCATAAAAAGTGACTATGTACCAAAGACGATTACGGAAAATTCGATAAAAGTATATCAAATTAATTTATTGTTTCTTATTTAACAAACACAAACAACGTTTATTTATACAACGGAGTTTATAAAAATAGCGTTTTTTTCTTCGTGGATTAAATTGTGAGATATTAAATTGTATAGATTGTATTGTTACGTCGACAATCGATATTGATAGCTTATAGAATATTAAAAGCACAAAATGATATTTCACAATATTACTGATCCTCTTGTTATACAATCTTATTTCTCCTGCCGTTCTATGTATCTTCTCAGTATTCATTACTTCAGTTTACCTGTCCGCCTCTCGTTGCTTTACATTTCGCAAACAGCCTCAATTTCTCTCCCAATTTGCGAGAGACATCCAAATCGGCTGCGATCAATCATTCCGCACTCATCCACTTGTAGACGCTCGACTCAACGAAACGTAACGCGATATCCCTTTGCAGTTAACGAGCGTCCGCTCGAAGCTCCGAGTGTGTCGAGTTTCAACGTTTCCAGCAGCCAAAGTGATAGACATTTCTTTACAGAGGAACACCTAAGAATCCAGCTCGCGAAATGCCACATCGTTTAGTGGATTTCGCGGCAAAGTGCTGTGTTTCAAGCACAAGCGAGAACACGACGATCCGCCGAATGCGTCACAAAGGCACGCGGCGAGCTACGGACGTGTGGATGCAACACGAAGTGCAACCGCGAAAATTATTACACAACCAGCCAACTATGACAGCAAAACAAAGCAAACATGGAGTGGCACGTGCCTTTAGGCAATCGCTGCACAGTGCACGACAAGACAGGAAACTAAGGTATTTAACGTGGCGTGCTATTAATTGCGTTAAAAATAGTCTTTACATAAACTGATTTATTTGTTAGAAAAACGCATCGCTACTCGTCAGAAGAAATTATGTCACAACTAATAATAAGATTCAACACACGAACATGAAATTACTCACACACTCTTATTAAAGTTTCGAAACGTGATCATACTTTTCACTTGTTTATCAAACACAAAGATACATCATTAGAAACAGATATTTATTATTAGAGATATTAATTGTTCGATGTTTTAATCCGCACTTGATAGATTATTCGCCTTATACAGGGTGTTATGTAATACCCGCGTCAACGCTTATTATGGGATAGAGTGGACTAGACTAAGTCGAAAAGTCCTGTACCACTTTGCAGGTTTTGCAATAGTTAACGAGTTATTAATTATTAAAAATCGCTGTCTTAGGCCGGCCCACTACCCAATTGAAACGTGCGGCGAGATCGATCGATCGTTACTAGGCGCGCAGAGAGTAACGATCGATCGATCTCGCCGCACGTTTGAATTGGGCAGTGGGCCGGCCTAAGACAGCGACTTTTAATAATTAATAACTCGTTAACT